TTTAACGCCGCACTCAGCAATATTCCAGCTATAAGATGGCGGTCTGTAAATAATTGAGTCTGGACCAGACAATCCAGTGATTAACATCATGATCATCGATCCACGCAATATTGGCATCGATGACATGCATCAATCAAGTCAGCGAGCCTGACCACCCGATCCCGTTAGTCGCCTTTTACGACAGGCATAGTCACTTTTTACGGCAAGCATGGGTTGCTAAAGACCTATTCTACCCCGGAATCTTCACGGGTCCCACGCAATTGGGATCGATGACATGCATCAATCAAGTCAGCGAGTCTGACCACCCGATCCCGTTAGTCGCCTTTTACGACAAGCATAGTCACCTTTTACAGCAAGTATGGGTTGCGGAATACCTATTCAACCCCGGAATCTTCACGGGTCCCACACAATTGGGATCGATGACATGCATCAACCAAGTCAGCGAGCCTGACCACCCGATCCCGTTAAGCGCTTTTTACGACAAGCATAGTCACCTTTTACGGCAAGCATGGGTTGCTGATGACCTATTCTACCCCGGAATCTTCACGGGTGTGCCTTACACAATATATATGCCCTTGAAGATCCGATGTTGAATAGGTCTTCAGCAACCCATGCTTGCCGTAAAAGGCGACTAACAGTTTGTTGATGCATGTCATCGATTCCAATTGCGTGGATCGATGCTTATGATGTAAATCACTGGATTGTCTGGTCAAGACTCGATTATATACAGACCGCCGTCATATAGCTGGAATTTTGCTGAGTGCGGCGTGAAACAGCAAACCTAAAACACAATACATGCAAACAGAGGAACATCCTTTTGCCAGGGAGTGCTGGTGATGATGACAGCAACAGTGATGATGGTAACAATCCTCCCAACCACTTGCCACAGGTTATGGGAGATGGTTGTTTGTTTAGTGAGAACTTTGCTTACATTCACTTTCAAAGTATGTATGCATAATATATTTAGTTTTGTTATAGAACTTATATCATATGTGTAGGATTCATTCTTATTATTCATAAACAAGTTACCACCTTATCGCCATTTGCCATTTTTCAGCTTATGAACTTGATATGAACATGTCAATTGTTAATGCCAAATTATGCAAGCTTAATCATTCTTCATTTTGCTTTTGTAACATTTAAAACAAACTATGGGAAAATTAGTTTGTCATTGCTGTTACATACTTTTAAACCAAATTGTAGAAAAAAAGAAAACATGTATCTGATCTTAAGCTTCCTCCCATCACAACAATGTTTTACTAACATTTTTTTAAAAATGGTAAACATATCCCTTTCACTATTTTGCCAAATGACAGATACTCAGACATCTTTAGCCAAGCCTAAAATGGGCACGGTCCTCAAGATCCCCTTGACCCGTGAAGATTCCGGGGTAGATTAGGTCTTCCGCAACCCATACTTGCCGTAAAAGGTGACTATGATTGTCTTAAAAGGCGACTAACGGAATCGGGTGGTCAGGCTCGCTGACTTTGTTGATGCATGTCATCAATCCCAATTGCGTGGATCGATGATCACTGGATTGTCTGATCCAGACTCGATTATTTACAGACCGCCGTCATATAGCTGGAATATTGCTGAGTGCGGCGTTAAACAACAAACAAACAAACCAAATCAAGATCCCCTTTAAATTTTGATGGTTAGAGTAATTTCCCTTTTACACGGGTTTCTATTAAAATCATGCAGGACATTCCTCAAATAAAATCCAAAATCATTAGTGTGTCAGGTTTACGTAAAATAAAAACAACAATTGGAATGATGATGATGATATTTATGTTATTTGATAAGAAAATATTACCTACTAAATGTACAAGATTATAATTGATTTTGGGTCGAAAACAAAAACTTTGAATTGTATTTGCTTTGACACATATGTCATATTTATATATGTAAAGGAATTCTCAAAATAATCACACGATTTATGCCAAAAGACAACATACATGTGCTACATTCAAACATAATTAGTATGAGATCTATATTATTAAATTGCAAGTCAATAAAATTACCATATTATGATGCAAAAGTTTGATTTAGGTTAAATGGTTTAAACATTAAAATCAGTTTTAACTTGATATATTTACATGAAAGATATAGAAATTGTTCATGTTAATACTGTTGTTGAAATTTTTGTTGCCAATCCTTTTACTCATATTTCCTGCTATTACTTTAATGAAAGCATATTGTGACATTCTTTACCGGCTGCCTGATGTGTAATGTTTTAATGGGTGATAGTATACATGATGGCTTTGGTTTGGTTGGTTGTTTAACGCTGCACTCAGCAATATTCCAGCTATATGACGGCGGTCTGTAAATAATCGAGTATGGACCAGACAATCCAGTGATTGACAACATGAGCATCAATCCACGAACTTGGGACCGATGACGTGCATCAACCAAGTCAGCGACCCTGACCACCCGATCCCGTTACTCGCCTTTTACGGCAAGCATGGGTTGCTGAAGACCTATTCTACCCCGGAATCTACACGGGTCAAGTTCCTTGTGATGCATGATGGCAAATAGCCCATATGATAACATTCTAAAACTTGTGAGCAACCAAACATGATCTGTAATTTCTTTCTGTAGAACTCTTCAAAGCACACAAAAAAGCACAGACACATAAGAATATTCTCATGTTGAAATGTTCCATAGCCCAAAGAAATATAGCCAAAAATAGGCTCTTACATTTTTTAAAAGAAATTGATAAAATATGTGAACCAAATGAGCAATAGTTTTTCTTATGAATTAACACCAAAATTTCTTTCTTACCTCTAATTATAGACTTTTTGTGAAATAACTGAAATGAAAGAACATTGCTAAACAAAACTTGATTATGCGAATTTAAGTGAAATGTAATTTAAATTCCTGTAAAGTCAGCTGATTTCTTGAATTAATTTAGCACAGAATGTGACTTACTATTCAATTATAAGATTGATCTTTTCTCATCTTCTCTAATTTTAGGGTTAGCATTTCTTTCTGAAGTTCAAGGACATCAATCTCTAATAATGTCCTTTTTCTTAGAAGCTGTTTGTCATCTAGGTCTTTTTTTCTTGTGCAGGGGACAGCTGAGGCTGAAGTACAGCTGGGTTGAGGTTGGGCTTGTACTCCATGTGGCAAGGCGCCACAAGCTTCAGATTCAAAGCCAAGGATTGCTGCTTCCTGACAACTGAAACGAAATTGTTTAATGTTTGAGCGATTAAGAATAACATAAATATCATAAAGGTTTTGTATCACCAAAAGAAAAAAAATGTTTACCTGTTTAATATGTCCATGCCCGGGAATAGGGTTCAATCGAAGCTTCCTTCAACTCCACTGATGCTCACATTTGTTTGTCCAAGCACATCATATACTGCCTCTGACACAGGTTTTCGGTTTGGTTTGGTTTGTTGTTTAACGCCGCACTCAGCAATATTCCAGCTATATGACGGCGGTCTGTAAATAATCGAGTCTGGACCAGACAATCCAGTCATTAATATTATGAACATCGATCTACGCAATTGGGACCGATGACATGCATCAACCAAGTCACCGAGCCTGACCACCCGATCCCGTTAGTCGCCTTTTACGACAAGCATAGTCGCCTTTTACGGCAAGCATGGGTTGCTGAAGACCTATTCTACCCCGGATCTTCACGGACCTCTCTGACACAGGGCTTAGTCTGCTCGGACCAGGTCCCCCTCCAGCAATAGTTTTAAGATTTTTAATCTTCTTGTACTTCTTGATACAATAAATCAATATGACCCAATAGATAAAGACAACTCAATTTGTCCTAATGGTATTGTATGAGTCAGTCCTTTCATTAGGACGGAAGAGTCAGTGAGTGAGTATGGTTTTACGCCGCTTTTAGCAATGTTCCAGCAATATCACGGCAATAATGGGCTTCACACATAGTACCCATGTCGGGAATCGAACCTGGGTCTTCAGCGTGACGAGCGGACGCTTTAACCACTAGGCTTACCGATCGCCCCAGGACGGAAGAAAGATAGTTCATACTGCATAATCATATACTAATCACATGCAAAGTAGTTATATTTTTTGGTAATGATTATCAGTGTGAATACTACATCTGTTTTCTTTAGGTAATTTTGAACTATTCCAGTTTGGTCTATTCTAATATCATGTTTGAGCTTCATAAGAAAATTAATATAATAATTTCTACATGTCTCTACTTTTTTCGCTTATGGTAAACTTTCCTTTCAAAACATTGTTACTTTGTATATTTATATACATGTATATATGTATCTTCCATAAAATAATACATGCAGAAAATATGTAATGAGAACATTTTGACCGGTCTAACTGTCAAGTGGAAAATATTGTTTGTTTAAGTTATTAAATACAAAGGTCTATACATTTATTTAATATTTAATACACATTTTTGAATGCATATTTTAGTTCAAATCCCCTAAAGTGTCCATATTTGCCTTCGCTTTTTGAGGAAGACATTAAATCATCAATCATTGGTTGGTTTGCCGCATTCAGCAATGTTCCAGCTATATGCTTGTCGTAAAAGGCGGTTGGTCAGGCTCTCTGACTTTGTTGATGCATGTCATTAGTCCCAATTGCGTGGATCGATGCGCATGATGACAATCACTGGATATTCTGGTCCAGACTCGATTATTGACAGACTGCCGTCATATAGCTGGATTGGTTGGTTGGTTTGTTGTTTAACGCCGCAATCGGCAATATTCCAGCTATATGACGGCGGTCTGTAAATAATCGAGTCTGGACCAGACAATCCAGTGATTGATATCATGGGCATCGATCTACGCAATTGGGATCGATGACATGTATCAACAAAGTCAGCGAGTCTGACCACCCGATCCCGTTAGTCGCCTTTTACGACAAGCATGGGTTGCTGAAGACCTATTCTACCCCGGAATCTTCACGGGTCCATATAGCTGGAATATTGCTGAGTGCGGGCGTTAAACAACAAACAAACAAACATATCCTTGTAAATACTCATACATAAATAATAATTCTTTCAGCCATGGCGCAGCTAAAATAACAGGAGCGCCGGACGTGTACCCCAATTATGGTGATTTGGCGGGAAATTGGGCATCGAAAAACTGGAGCAAGGGCGATGAGTGGATCAAGGTGAAAATATGATACTAATTAGGGTTGTTGTTCAAAACCGCAGCAGCAATATTGAAGCTATATGGCCGCGGCCTGTCAATAATTAATGAAATCTGGAAAATACCCTCGATGAATGATATTATGAGCAATCATCCATCAGTGTACGATTACATCAATCTTGACAGAGTCTGACCACCAATTTATTTTGCCTCTTACGACACGCATAGTTTGCTGTCGACCAATAGGGACTATTCAGTTATGACACCTTAGTGGTTACATTATGAACGCCGCTCTCAGCAATATTCAAGCTATATGACGGCGGTATGTAAATAATCGAGTCTGGACAAGACAATCCAGATTGGTTGGTTGGTTTGTTGTTTAACGCCGCACTCAGCAATGTTCCAGCTATATGACGGCGGTCTGTAAAATTATCGAGTCTGAACCAGACAATCCAGTGATTGATATCATGAGCATCGATCCACGCAATCGGGATACGGTGACATGCATTAACCAAGTCAGCGAGCCTGACCACCCGATCCCGATAGTCGCCTTTTACGACAAGCATAGTCGCCTTGTACGGCAAGCATGGACAATCCAGAGATTGACATCATGAGCATCGTTCTACGCAATTGGGATACGATGACATACATCAACCAAGTCAGCAAGCCTCACCACCCGATCCCGTTAGTCGGCACTTTCGACATGCATAGTCGCCTTTTACCCGTGAGGATCCGGGGTAGAATAGATCTTCAGCAACCCATGCTTGCCGTAAAAGGTGACTATGCTTGTCGTAAAAGGCGACTAACGGGATCGGGTGGTCAGGCTCGCTGACTTGGTTGATGAACGGACATCGATCCCAATTGCATGGATCCATGCTCATGATATCAATCACTGGATTGTCTGGTCCAGACTCGATTATTTACAGACCGCCGTCATATAGCTGGAATATTGCGGAGTGCGGCATTAAATAACAAACCAACCAACCAATTTTACGGCAAGCTTGGGTTGCTGAAGACCCACTCTACCCCGGATCCTCACGGGTCAATTCCAAATAAAGATAACCTAAATGTTCATCTTGTATTCTCCTGTGCACTTCCAGGTAAAGATTGCCCAACTGATGTTCATCCTCCAGATTGACGTTTATGAGACTTATAATGCAGGAGGTATAAAGGAGATCTCAGCGAAGAGACACACCGGAACCTGGGGTGTTATATGGACCACGCCTCAGTTGATTAAGATCACAACAAGCAGGATTAACTCGATAACGCCACAGGTATATATATGTTTCCCTAACTTGATTTACATGAAGATCCGGGGTTAGCAACCCATGCTTGCCGTAAAAGGCGACTATGCTTGTCGTAGGAGGCGACTAACGGGATCGGGTGGTCAGGCTCGCTGACTTGGTTGAAGCATGTCATCGATCCCAATTGCGTGGATCGATGCCCATGATATCAATCACTGGATTGCCTGGTCCAGACTCGATTATTTACAGACCGCCGTCATATAGCTGGAATATTGCTGAGTACGGCGTAAAACAACAAACCAACCAACCAATGATGTACATTCCATGTGCCTGTGCCATACCCAAAATGTTAGGATACTCGTTAACGCCCCTGAAGAATGAAGAATGTGCTTTGAACAGTATTTCATCACTGTTTTTGAGGAATGACCGAAGTGGTACAGATTCCAGACATTTACTATTTGGATAAAACCTACATGAACGGGTATATGTGTGAATATAATCCAGGCCAAACTTGGGAGGATTTTAACATACATTGTCATATGCATATGTGTCTTGCACGGTAAGGAACTCAATTGTGCACAACGAATTGTAGCGTTTGTCAATGGAGCCAAAAAATGTGGATTTCAAGTTCTTTTATGTAATAAATTCCTTTCAATGAATTACATAAATGAATTTGAAATCCACATTTTCTGGCTTCATTGCAATGAACTTGACCAGTAACGATCCGGGGTAGAATAGGTCTTCAAAAACCCATGCTTGTCGTAAGAGGTGACTAACGGGATCGGGTGGTCAGACTCGCTGACTTGGTTGATGCATGTCATCGTATCCCGATTGCGTGGATCGATGGTTATTAAGTCAATCACTTGATTGTCTGGTCCGGACTGGATTATTTACAGACTGCCATCATATACAGCTGGAATGTTATTGAGTGCGGCGTTAAACAACAAACAAACAAACAAAAATGATTAATTTTATTGTCTTTACAGATTAATTATGCGACAGACCAGTTATGGATAACTACTAGTGGTACCGCTGCGCAGTACTGGGTCGAACTGGATGCGGTCAAGGTCATCGGGTGGCCCGCCTAAGATAATTTACCGTGACTCTGTGTTAGAAAAGGTGTTCTGTTCCTATAAGCCGCAGAACCCGTGCATTTCATTACTTTATACCCTGCAGACGTTATTGAAAGTTAACATATCGTTTTTATTGGTTTCCACAGAGTCAGTGGATGCACCATTGTGTCACTGGCTTTTCAACCCGTGAAGATCCGACGTAGAATAGGTCTTCAGCAACCCATGCTTACCGTAAAAGGCGACTATGCTTGTAAAAGGCGACTGACGTAATCTGGTGGTCAGGATCGCTGACATGGTTGATGCATGTCATCGTATCCCAATTGCGTGGAATGCATGTCATCGTATCCCAATTACATGGATCGATGCTCATGATGTCAATGACTGGATTGTCTGGTCCAGACTCGATTATTTACAGAACGCCGCCATTTTTGCTGAAATATTGCTAAGTGCGGCGTTAAACAACAACCCAACCAACAAACCCAATTTTCAACTAATTTTACATAGACTCTGTGATATTCTAGTTATTGTACTGTCCTTTGATGATATATTTTTATAAAGTCTACATATATGTGTTATTAATGTATAACGTCTCGTCACGATATGGCTGAAATATTGCCGATGTGGCGTTAAATTTTAATTCACTCACTCATCAACCCAATTGCGTCGGATCGATGCTCATGGTGTCAATCACTTGATTGTCTGGTCCAGACTCGATTATTTCAGACCGCCGTCATATTGCTGGAATATTGCCGAGTGCGGCGTTAAACAAACATACACTTGCTTTTCTGGTTCCTCGATCACGTGATTTTCTCGCTGATTCACAGACCGTCGTCACATGGCGGGAGTATTGCTGTGCTGCGTCATGAAATACGTTCTTTTTATGCTAATTGTGTGAAGGGCGGGGGCTACCGGTAGGGCAGAGCATGCCTACCCTTTTCGCGAACACCTGGTGTCGAAGACTGATATTCAGTGGTCCACTCATATACTTTTCACAGCTATTTTCCCCTTTGCACCATTTTTATCTGCTTTGGCGGATAATCTAAATTGGTTATTCTCTTGCATTGACAGTTTATATCTACTATAAAGACTTACAGTTATGTTTTAAAATAAATCTCTTGTGGATCCAAAACTGTCGGCTTTTTAAAATACAATTGAGTTACCGGACAAACAAATGGTTGTGTGAGTGAATGAAACTATTGAAGCATCACTAACTATACTGCCGTTCTGGGGATCGGGTGGTCAGGCTCGCTGACTTGGTTGATGCATGTCATCGATCCCAATTGTGTAGCTCGATGCTCATGATATCAATCACTGGATTGTCTGGTCCAGACTCCGTTCTTTACAGACCACCGTCATGTAGCTGGAATATTGCTGAGTGCGGCGTTAAGCAACAAACCAGCCAACCAACGAACAGACATCCAACGTAATCAAACAGCGTTCATGGCAACTGCTGGCTTTCCTGGCGTATTTGGTGTAAATGACGGCACACATGTCCGCATAATTGCCACGAGTGTCGATGAGCCGACGTACCAAAACCAAAACTTAAAATTAATGAAAACGAGGACTACGTCAAATATTAGTAAAATATTTCCCACAAGGTCACAGTAAACAGTGAGAAATGATTTATAAAACTATATCTAGAGATCTTGTTATAGAGGTTAAGATCCGTGTTAACCTTTCTCGTAGGCCGAATTGAACTCGCCAAATATACAATGCCAAACAAGTAGGGATAGTTTGTTTTGAGGTGACACGACAGGAAAATACATTAATGTCTGGCAATGATATACGAAATTTATGTGGCAAGAACATTTCCTAATAAATCAAGCTCCCAAACACAACATTGTGGCAGTCAAGAAGCGCGTGACCTCTGACATGGTATGCCAGATTTACCACTGTCTCTAGCAAAAGTACTGTAAGTCCCCATGGACCCTAGCATGGTGATCTACCTTCAGCTGCTGGCGATCTATAGCCCTTTTTATATTGTACCGTTATATATAGTGATATCTTTTATAGTTGTATGCTAGTTTTAAATATTAATCTGTGATATTCTAGTAATTTTACTGTCCATCGACGACTGGTTTTAATTTAGTTAAAACATGTATTAAAAAGTGAAATTTCTCGTCACGATATGGCTGAAATATTGCCGATGTGACGTAAAGCTTTAACTCACTCACTCAACTCACTCACTCACTCACCACTGTCTCTCAGCCATGGTTGTGAGCAGATGCATATTGTTTTCTTGGCACCAAACGCTCAATTTGTTTTATTAAACACATTTAATCTTTAAAGCCCAAACTGACTATAAATATCCCGCAAGGTGGCCACTGTTTCAGTTTCGACGTTGACTGACAATGTAAACACAACCGAGTGTTGGGAGAATCTTTTTGAAACCCGTACGCAAACGAAATCACCTTGACTGTCAAACTTGTATCAACTTGAATGACAAACCTTAGATACCACAGATGGCTCAATATCTATATAAGACAGTACATTCTCTGTAGTTTTATCAAAAAACATCGAATCGATCGTGTCTGGCGTCTGCATCAATCACAGTGGGCGGAGCTCATTTAGGGTTACGCTATCAATAGCAAAGCACATGGTCATGTTTACATGTGACACATTCAATGCATTTGTGTTCAAAGTGAGTGAGTGAGTGAGTTTAACGCCGCTTTTAACATTATTCCAGTTATATCGCGGCATGTCAGCATAATGTGGGAGGAAAGCCCGAAGTGATGCAGGTCTCAGACGTTTACCACTTCGGTGAAACCCACGGGCACGGGTTGGTGCTGACAAACCTAGAAACATAATTGGGGCGAACCGGGATTCGAACCCTCAATCATAGGTTTCTGGCGTGTCCAAGGGACACAACTCTGCACAGCTAGTCGCGGTGCTTTAGACGACTGGGCCACCAATGCCCCCCTTGTGTTCAAAGTGTATTGTGGTGTATATATTTACGGCAGCACAGCAGCACAACAACAGTTTTAGTTGATGTAACAGTAACGATACATAAATACGAAATTGACGTTAGTAACATAAGTAATAGCGACAAGATTCTTTCAGTTCAATCCGGATTTAACAGATATTTGTTTAGATTTAGTCATTTGCATTCAACAGTTAGATCTGTACACAAAATCATCATATTATATTTATAAAACTTAAATTATGAGACATATTTTTCATCTAGTGTTTAAGAAGAAGCACCAGAATTTGCGCCAATATTTATAAGCTTGACTACAAAATATGAATATGTCACGTGTATCAACAAAACAATGCACATAAGCAACTGATAGGCCTAAATAAGTAACGAAATATACTAGATGTTTTGACTTACATCAGGCCCATCTAGATAATATTGTACTTACGACAAACGAAAACGCCAATACACATATTCCAAGAAAACCTATTACGGATTTCCTTTTCTTTCACAGTGAGTGAGTGAGCTAAGTCCTGTGTCAGAGGCAGTGTATGAGTGAGTGTGTGAGTTGGGTTAAACGCCGCGTTTAACAGTATTCCAGTTATATCGCGGCGTGTCAGCTTAATGTGGGAGGAAAGCCCGAAGTGATGCAGGTCTCAGACGTTTACCACTTCGGTGAAACCCACGAGCACGGGTATGGTGCTGACAAACCTAGAAATGTAATCGGGGCGAACCGGGATTCGAACCCACAATCATAGGTTTCTGGCGTGCCCAAGGGACGCAATTCTGCACAGCGAATCGCGGCGCCTTAGACGACTGGGCCACCCGTGCCCCCTTTCTTTCACAGAATTTTCACACACGAAATTGAGTTAGATCCACACTTAGATCCACACTTGTCCGTGTCTTAATTTTCCTGCCGCTGTGGAGAATTTTGCACCGATCTAATAAAAGAAATGCTACTAGATCTATCATTGCCTCGTCATAAAAGAACCAGGTCAACTTTATCGTTCTTCAGTTGTATATTAAAAATTCGTTTCCGAAGGAAAGCGACTCGATCTACATCATAAATAAATTCATAGACTAGATTCTAGTACCAAGTGTTTAAACTTTTTTTTGAATGTCATAAGATAATTTACACAATTATTGAAATACATTTTTCAATAAGTAAAATAGTTTATTTCGCCCGCCCTCTCTCTAGTTAGTTGAGGCTTGAGGGGAGAAACACATACACAAAATATGGATACCGATGGCCTTATGCAAAAGACACTTGGCATAGCAATCAACAGGGAAACTGGGTCACTGGGACCCGCCAAGTTTCACGGATCGAGTGACTTCGGCATGAGGATCTCTCGGACAAGTGTGACTTTGCCAAAACACATTACTACTGGGCAATGAAAACATGTAACGGAAACGACAAAAAACTACTTTCACCACTTAAAAATATTTTTTGGACATTATGAGGCTTTTTTACACGATCGTTGTCATCCAGATTCAAGATGAAAGCAAGACGAACACAACGAAACAAACACTGTTAAAATCACCGAATGTATTGTGAGAAATGCTATTCATAAACTGCAGATCTAGATATACCGTACACCACAAGATTACGATTAGTGCCGTGATACATATACTCAACAACAAAAGTTCCTGTGACACAAATATTTTAGTGTATTTTTCAAACAAGTAAAGTTTGGTTTTCAGTATTGTAGTACATGTATGGAATCAAGTCACAAAAACGCAACTGCTACAGAAAAGCATGCATTCCATGCAAAAGTTGACTTTTATGCAAGCCCCATGCATTTCACTACCCAAGAATGGGTATAAAAAACATGTGCGTTAATGAGATTCCATATGCATTGTTTAGCATCGTGCTGACAACAACCACCCAAGAAAAGAACAAAATTACGCAATTATTCAACATGACGAACTGCCACGCCTGTCCGAAAATGAGCGTCTGCGAGCCATTGGTATGCTTGAAGCAGGATCGAGTCAACGTGATGTTGCAAGACAATTTAACGTCCACAGAAACACCATTTGATGTTGATGGCAACGTTGGCAACAAACGAATCCAGTCAGAGACGATCCTCGGAGTGGCAGGCCACGCGTAACCAATAATCGACGAGACAACTGGATTCGAACAACACACCTTCGAAATCGATTCCAGCCAGCAACAGTGACTGCATGAAGCATCCCTGGCCTTCGACGAATATCTTCACAAACCGTACGTCGTCGCCTCAGATGTGCAGGGATTGTCACCAGAAGACCCGAAAGACGTCCCATTTTGACAGGAAACCACCGTCAAGCACGTCTACAGTGGTGCAGACAACGTCTGCGCTGGACGGCCATGCAGTAGGGACAAGTTCTATTCACTG